TCTATGAACACGTTGAACACTTTCTACCAGCATTCCTGTCTCCACCGTTTACAGTAGCGGCATCATGGTGATGTTCCTCAATGTTCTCCATTAAAACAAGGAGCTGACTGAAGCAGCTGCTCGTCATCGATTCATTCAGGGCAGAAGAAGAGTCACGTGACGCCTTAACGCCTCCTTTAATGAGAACAGAGTCTGAAGCAGGAAGCCTGAGATGATAAAGAAAGTTGAACCTCCTTCGTGATGCCTGTGATCTCTGGCTGGAGGTTTCGGTTTTGTCGATTCGGCTACACAAAGAAAGCCTGGCTGAGTCCAACTGTCTTGTTGTGCAGCCCTCTGGCGTCAGCGTCTGCTCGTCCATCCACTGTGCACAGAGCCTGCTGAGCAGCCAGGTCCAGACCAGCAGGCGATGAGCAGAGGGCGGCTGGGACACTCAGACCTACGCATTAAAGTCTTTGAAGACATTTTTTAATTCAAGATACACTTAAATGTTAAATAATTACAAACTGTGTCACTTCACAACGTGATTATTTCTGAGGTTGAACTGTGGAGTGTTTTCTTTAATCAAGGACAAACACTTTCAGGCTCTGAATCCTGTGGTCGCTGACACTAAACTGAGTCCAGCTGTGATTTCCAATCAGCCTAATGAACATGAACCTGGTTCTACAATGAGCTGAGAGCAGCAGAACCGTCTCCTGGTGGACCTGTAGGCTCAGTCTGTCTGCATGGAAGAGAACTGCCAGAGGAATTCATCTGAGGATGGAAAAGGATGGAGGGAGATGGGTGAGCATCTAAAATCAGCAGAAACAGCAATGATCAGGGCGTATAGACGTATAGAAGGAGCCATAGTTTCACTAATCAGGGCCGCGCTGGTCGTTTTACTGAACCGGTACCGTGGACCGAGCACCTCTAAGACTTGGCACAGGGGTCCGTCTTGGACGAGACGGTTCATAACATCAATCTGTATCGACAGAGGACAAAAAAAACTCTGGCTTGCTCTTTGGAACAAAACTGTGAGATGAAACTTTGCTGAAGAACATGAAGCCTGATGGATGCTCAGAGCCGTTCTTCAGCTGAACTTGTTGAGCTCAGATGGAGTCCAGCATGTCTGGCTGGGCTCTAGCCAGGACCACCACAGTGCTGACATGAGGCTGCATGAGTCAAGGTTTGACATTCACAGATAGGCAAACCTAAACTATACAACTTAGAAGTAATCTGATTACTGTAATGTGATTTAAAACATTTCAGTGGCACCACTCAGGTGTGTACCCCCTCCTGAACATGTACAGGCAGCGTGCAGGGACCCGACTGCTCTGTTTTGTTCTGTTGTCTTTGTTGGTCCTTCAATGCTTAAAGCACTGATTTGGATTTTGTGCTGAGGTTCTGTATTCGGGACGCTCGCTTCCCTCCAGCTGTTGGTGCTGTCAGTGTGCCTGCAGCCAGATGACAAACTAAAGGAAGGAGCTAGTGGGTGGTGAAAACAGACGCTGCCTCGCAGAGCGTAGGGTGTCACCAGAAGGTCTCTGATAGTTTCATGAATCACAGGCAGCTCCCAGTCAGCAGACCTTAACCCAGCTGATCTCCTACACCATGGACCAGCACTCTTCATCACAACACCAAAAACTGTTGGATAAAGAGGAGGGGGTCGAGGAGATGAAGCCTGGATCAAAAAGTAAATGTTTTGTGACTAAATTGAGTTTTAAAAACTTTAATTGGTTATATTTCCACTCAAAGGAAGCCTGAGTCTCTGGACAGTGTGTGTTAGCGTCAGAACAAGAGCTGGAAAGTCGTTTAATTTAAGCAGAACTTATGACATTGGCACTGTGAACAAAGCATGTGCCCAAAACCAAACCAAAAAGGTAGAAGAAGAAGAAAAAAAAAATCCTGTGACGTAGAGAGGCTTTGACTTCCTGTGATGCCTCTATTGATAAGCAAACCTTAGTTCCACGTCTCATTCACTGTCTGAGGCACCGGCGGCACCGCAGCTCTGAGGTAATGGCACATTTCCATTCACTACACATCACACAGCTCCTGTCAGCTGCTCACTTCACTGTCTTCCTCAAACAAAGGCAACTTGACACATAGAGTTTTCTACAAAGATGTGATTGCTGTGTGGGACTAGAGAAGCAGTAGATTGCAGTAGACAGAAGAAGGAACGTTTTCCTGGTGTCCACAGAGCGACGCTCCGATCCCAGAGGGCATGAGGGCTCGCCGCCTCCTGTTCGTGCTGTGCTGCTCCAGCATCCTCACGGTCACCGGCTGCATCAAAGGTACTGAACAGCTTTCCTCTGAGCTATTTTATGAGGCAGCTTTTGGCGTATCTCATCTTGTGGTCATCATTTCTTTCTTATTGTGAATAACTGTGAACAGATAACTAGAGTCTCATACATGCCAGTCATCAACCACAGCAGGAGGCTGATGGGAAGCGCCCGTTAAATGTCAGACAGGAGGCGACCTCAGTGTTTTAAGTCTGTCCTTTTCAGCTACCTTTGACATTTGGTTGGTTTCGTGGGGTAATTTGTGTTTCCTTTACTCTGTTATCAGTTGCTTTAAGAGAAATTACACATTTGTTTTACTCAGATATGTGACAGCTGGATTTGCTCCTTACTTTACAAGTTAAGATCTCAGATATAAACAAACAAAAACACACGACTTTTATTAAATGTTGAGATTAAACCAGAAGCTTTGACCTGTTTTATAAAAACAAAGTCGTATGTCCAGTTTCCAGTGTTCGATCAAACACACATAAAGTCCCATTCTCTGGCTCAGAGCAGTTTTTTATTTAAATATTTGAGAGCTTTGCTTTCCTCCTGCTGTCTGCCTCCTTTCACATCCCTTCACAGTCCCTCAGAGTCGAGCTGTGGAAGGAGCCTGATCACTGGACTAAACTAAACCTGTAAAGTAGTTTAAACCAGATGCACCTGAACCAATCAGGAAAAACCTAAAAATGTTCTTTTTGATATTGTGACTGTGACCTCTGTCAGGGATTTCTCTACTTTTTCCACCAGTGGATGACTCGCTGTCTAAGTTATTCTGTTGCAACGAATCTCAGACAAGATGCCAATAATGGTTCCTCTTTTCTCTCTGCTTGTGCAGCTGATGGACATTTGTGTGTGAGTGACTACTTTCGCAACATCTCTTGTATATTGAACATCTCTGGTAACCCCGTTGGAGAATCCAGCACCAGCTACAGCCTGAAGTTCTTCCACTGTGAAAGGTAGCTCCTACAGAGTTAAACCCTGACGATGACTAGTTCCTCCTGTGTGACACCACTGCTGACGCTCATGTTCATGTTGTGCTGCTGTTTCTTCAAGGAGGTATCCCGATGTCTCCTGTCCGCTCACGGTGACGAGTCACGGCTACAGCTGCAACTGTGAACTCAAGCACAGTTCAGATCGTTTTACTGATTACGATGAATATGAAATAAAAGTCTGTGCTGAGTCTGACTGCCACCTGGACCTGGAAACGACGTTTCAACCATCAAGAAACAGTGAGTATAAATGAACTGTAGTGCCTCCTGACTGTGTGAAGGTGTGCTCACCTCATCATGAGCTACATTTAATTTAGTCTGCACACGTTCTGAGAAGGTTCTGTAATGTTTTACTGACGTTTCAAACAGGAAGTTTTTTTTTTAGTTCCCAGATTGTTCTAAAACTGTTTGGTGACAACATCGTCAGACCGCTACGCTCCAGACTTGTGTACCCTCAGAACGTTCTTCCTTCTTAGTACCATGTAACGCTGTGGAACATTGTGGGAACGTTTCATAGAGTCAACACTGTGCTCCCTTGACAACATCCCAAAAACACTATGACAGAACGTTCCACCTTTGTTACAAGTCAGGAACCGCCACAAAGAACGTTCTATCACCTGAGATCTCGATAACATCTCTAAAATGTTTTCTGAATGTTGTGTTGAGAAACTATTTCCTGTGGTATCATATCTAACGGGCCTCCTCAACAAAAAGGCAAAACGTTCCAGATTTAAAGAAATATTTTTAAAACGTTCTGTAGAAAAAACATTCAGTCGTCTAACAACATCTGGAAAACATCTGGAAAACATTTTCTGAATGTGGGTTTGAGAACGTTCTCCCTTTGTTATTGTGGAACATTGTGAGAATGTTGTATAATGTGTTTCCCTCAGAACATTGCAGGAAGAACGTTCCACCTTTGTTAATATGCCAGATTACGTGAACGTGTTGAGGAACGTTCTGTCACCTGATGATGGTCCACCAGCAACCAGAGAGAACACGTTGTAGAAGCTTCAGCCGTAAACCAATTCAAAGGCAGGACGTTCCCAATGCAACGTTCAGCCAACCTTACGATGAACGTTCTGTGATATCATAATAAGGTGAAACAATCTGAGACGTTTTCTGGATGTTGTGAAGAGAACACATGATAGAATCTATAAAACGTTCCCACAATGTTGCATGATAACAAAGGAAGAACGTTCTCAGTCCTACATTCAGTTCTGAGCGTTGCAGTCTGTCACCCTGTGGGAGCTAAAGGAAAAGTGGCTGTCAACATCTGGAACAGATGCTGATGTCACACACGTGACTGTGATGAGCAGCAACAGCTGTCTGAAGTGGATCACACCTTTCTGTGCGCCGTGTCTGTCTGAG